ACATCAGCAGGAGAGGACTCTTTAAAGTAGAGACCTAATCTGATACACTAACATCAACAGGATAGGGACTCTTTAAAGTAGAGCACTCATACTGACTATACAACTGAACATCAACAGGAGAGGACTCTTTAAAGTAGAGACACTACATACTGATATACACCTGAACATCAGCAGGAGAGGACTCTTTAAAGTAGAGACACTACATACTGATATAACCTGAACATCAGCAGTAGGACTCTTTAAAGTAGAGGACACTAATAGCTGGATATACACCTGAACCTCAACAGGAGAGGTCTCTTTAAAGTAGACACTACACTGATATACACCTGAACATCAGCAGTAGAGGACTCTTTAAAGTAGAGACACTACATACTGATATACACCTGAACATCAACAGGAGAGGACTCTTTAAAGTAGAGACACTACATACTGATATACACCTGAACATCAGCAGGAGAGGACTCTTTAAAGTAGAGACACTACATACTGATATACACCTGAACATCAGCAGGAGAGGACTTCTTTAAAGTAGAGACACTACATACTGATATACACCTGAACATCAGCAGGAGAGGACTCTTTAAAGTAGAGACACTAATACTGATATACACCTGAACATCAGCAGGAGAGGACTCTTTAAATGTAGAGACACTACATACTGATATACACCTGAACATCAGCAGGAGAGGACTCTTTAAAGTAGAGACACTACATACTGATATACACCTGAACATCAGCAGGAGAGGACTCTTTAAAAGTAGAGACACTACATACTGATATACACCTGAACATCAGCAGGAGAGGACTCTTTAAAGTAGAGACACTACATACTGATATACACCTGAACATCAGCAGGAGAGGACTCTTTAAAGTAGAGACACTACATACTGATATACACCTGAACATCAACAGGAGAGGACTCTTTAAAGTAGAGACACTACGAACTCACAGGAGAGGACTCTTTAACGTAGAGACACTACATACGATATACACCGAACATCAGCAGGAGAGGACTCTTTAAAGTAGAGACACTACATACTGATATACACCTGAACATCAACAGGAGAAGAACTCTTTAAAGTAGAGACACTACATACTGATATACACCTGAACATCAACAGGAGAGGACTCTTTAAAGTAGAGACACTACATACTGATATACACCTGAACATCAGCAGGAGAGGACTCTTTAAAGTAGAGACACTACATACTGATATACACCTGAACATCAACAGGAGAGGACTCTTTAAAGTAGAGATAATACATACTGATATACACCTGCACATCAGCAGGAGAGGACTCTTTAAAGTAGAGACACTACATACTGATATACACCTGAACATCAGCAGGAGAGGACTCTTTAAAGTAGAGACACTACATACTGATATACACCTGAACATCAACAGGAGAGGACTCTTTAAAGTAGAGACACTACATACTGATACACACCTGAACATCAGCAGGAGAGGACTCTTTAAAGTAGAGACACTACATACTGATATACACCTGAACATCAGCAGGAGAGGACTCTTTAAATACCAAAGCACCGAGGACCCACAGAATGACAGGATATCAACGATTCACTTCACACAGCAAACCTCAGTCAGTGTAGAAACAAATCTAAAATGAAATGCACAGCTTCATATCTGTCGAATCAGACATAATGCTCCTTGACTCCTTCGGCCAGACGTGTTTAAGGAGAATTAAAATGACAACAAACTCTCACGCCGCGTAACAGAGAGACACGTCAGCAACGTTTCTGCCCCGTAACACTTCCTCTGAAAACGCTGCGTTCATGTCTCGTGAGTGTCATTGATTCAACCTTTACAGTTATATGTACCAGTTGTGTTAGGATGAAGTCTATATTGATGTTTGTATTACTTCTTCCATGTGTACGTTCACTCACAGGTCTGAACACCATCAGCGAAGACACTTGAGAAAAGATCCAATATGGATATTTATATCGGATGATTTATACGGTGTCCAACGGGAGCTAACCTCTTCCATCAGGAGAAACGTGCTGCAGCTTCAGAAAGGATGCAGATATAAAAACACAAAGGTTCCACATGAAGAAACATCTCCAGCAACTTGACGACACGTGGAGCTTTTAGAGAACATTCAGCAACTTGAGGAGACATGCGCAGCGTTTACTAAAAGCTGCAGAAACCAAACACTGCAAGAAGCTCAAAACACAACAGAGACCAGGGGACACTAAAGAGTGACGCACACAGCTGGGAGACCAGGGGACACTAAAGAGTGACGCACACAGCTGGGAGACAAGGGGACACTAAAGAGTGACGCACACAGCTGGGAGACCAGGGGACACTAAAGAGTGACGCACACAGCTGGGAGACCAGGGGACACTAAAGAGTGACGCACACAGCTGGGAGACAAGGGGACACTAAAGAGTGACGCACACAGCTGGGAGACCAGGGGACACTAAAGAGTGACGCACACAGCTGGGAGACCAGGGGACACTAAAGAGTGACGCACACAGCTGGGAGACCAGGGGACACTAAAGAGTGACGCACACAGCTGGGAGACCAGGGGACACTAAAGAGTGACGCACACAGCTGGGAGACCAGGGGACACTAAAGAGTGACGCACACAGCTGGGAGACCAGGGGAGAAAAAGAGTGACGCACACAGCTGGGAGACCAGGGGACACTAAAGAGTGACGCACACAGCTGGGAGACCAGGGGACACTAAAGAGTGACGCACACAGCTGGGAGACCAGGGGACACTAAAGAGTGACGCACATAGCTGGGAGACCAGGGGAGAAAAAGAGTGACGCACACAGCTGGGAGACCAGGGGACACGAAAGAGTTACGCACACAGCTGGGAGAGCAGGGGACACTAAAGAGTGACGCACACAGCTGGGAGACCAGGGGACACTAAAGAGTGACGCACACAGCTGCGAGACCAGGGGACACTAAAGAGTGACGCACACAGCTGGGAGACCAGGGGACACTAAAGAGTGACGCACACAGCTGGGAGACCAGGGGACACTAAAGAGTGACGCACACAGCTGGGAGACCAGGGGACACTAAAGAGTGACGCACACAGCTGGGAGACCAGGGGACACTAAAGAGTGACGCACACAGCTGGAGACCAGGGGACACTAAAGAGTGACGCACACAGCTGGGAGACCAGGGGACACTAAAGAGTGATGCACACAGCTGGGAGACCAGGGGACACTAAAGAGTGACGCACACAGCTGGGAGACCAGGGGACACTAAAGAGTGACGCACACAGCTGGGTGACCAGGGGACACTAAAGAGTGACGCACACAGCTGGGAGACCAGGGGACACTAAAGAGTGACGCACACAGCTGGGAGACCAGGGGACACTAAAGAGTGATGCACACAGCTGGGAGACCAGGGGACACTAAAGAGTGACGCACACAGCTGGGAGATCAGGGGACACTAAAGAGTGACGCACACAGCTGGGTGACCAGGGGACACTAAAGAGTGACGCACACAGCTGGGAGACCAGGGGACACTAAAGAGTGACGCACACAGCTGGGAGACCAGGGGACACTAAAGAGTGACACACACAGCTGGGAGACCAGGGGACACTAAAGAGTGACGCACACAGCTGGGAGACCAGGGGATACTAAAGAGTGACGCACACAGCTGGGAGACCAGGGGACACGGATGAGTCTGCTCTGTGATTGGTGGAGAAGGAGGCACACGTTTTAGCTTCAGCCAATCACAGCGTCAGGAGGAATTGACGTACTGCTTTTATGACCTCATAAGAGCAGACGTCAGAGCAGTCGTTGAGTTGGACTGATGGCGTTAAAGCTTCAAACGTCACTGCTGATTTGATAAAGACCTACTTTAATGATAACAGTATGGATTCAACGCTTATCATCTGAAGCTGTTTCCCGTCTTCTTGTAGAAGTCTTTGGTCGTTTTGCATCTGACGGTACGTCCACACGGCAGCGTCGCGTTGAAGCTTGCCGGTGGGCGTGTCTGGCGTGCGACCAACAACCAATCACATCAATCTCCCGCCCCGGACACACAAGCACGCGGTTTGATTGGCTAGCGCTTGTACTGGCATATGATTTGATTGGCTGGTGCTTCCGTCGACTTTTCTCAACTTTCGAAGCGAGCAACGGAGGCAAAGCAATGCGACGGAACCACAATGCAGTTGGGTAAAGCGTGACGTCACCCCAAAGTGAACGGGAAGCGTCTCCGTTGAAGCACGCGACGCTGCCGTGTGGACGCACCGTAACTGTAGACGTGTTGCAGCTCTTGTGGTCATTTGAAGTCTCTTTTTAAACATTTTGCATCTTCTGGTAGAAGGTTTTGGTCGTCTTGCATCTCCTTTGGTGAATTAATGTCTCTTTTTCAACATTTTGATGTTTAAATGTAGACGTGTTGCATCTCTTGTGGTCATTTTATGTACTTTCATGTTATTTTCGTGGTCTTTTTTCCATTTAGCTCCTACTTGTAAACATCTTGTATTTCTGGTTGTGGTTGTTTTTGCATCACTTTTTAAACATTTTGCAGCTCTTGTGCTTCTTTTTTGATATTATTGTGTCTCTTCGTGGTCTTTTTGTCCTTGTATAAACGTTTTGCGTCTCTCTATGATCTCTATTTGATATTTATGTTGTCTCTTTGTAGTCATCTTGTCTCTCTTTGTGACTTTCCAATATGATATATAATGAATAACTTCAAACAGAGCCCGGTGGTTTCTCACTTTGATGCAGATTTTCTCTCTAGATATTATTATTTTACACATCGTGCAAACTAACTGTAACTCTCCTAAAACACTCATCAGTCTGTTCGGTTGAAACTGAGCCTCTCATTGTGATGTTGCAGCGACATCTAGTGGCCAAAAGATGAACTGCAGTGCCAGGAATTTAGTATCTGAGGCTTGAGGTCATTCTGTTGAATTAAAATAACAGACTGATGGTATTTCATAGGCTGTGTTTTGTGAGAGTGTCCAAACTCATTACATTTAAAGATGAAAGCATCTGATAAGGAGAACACTCACTTCTCCTTTGCCCTCTTCTTGTCTTCCAGGTGGCGGTGAGCCTGCAGGCGAGATTCAGGGGTGAAGGAACACGGCTTGTTCCAGAAATCATTCTCCTGCTGCTCCTCATCCACCTCCTGGTTCTCCTGGTTCTCCTGGTTCTCCTGGTTCTCCTCCAAAATCAGACTACAGAGAGAAGGAACCTATTTAGAAACCTAAACACAGAGATTATACGAACGTATTGGATGTTGAGACTTATTTTATAAATTTGCTTCTATAGCTTTTCTCTTTTCAAATGATTTCAAAAGATATGAGGTTCTCCCAACTTCCCCTTAGTTTCTATATTAAATACAGCAGTTTTACTTGTTGTTACTTCCATAAATCAACCCATAAGAACCCGGACCCCTTTCTACTTTTGGGGAAATTAAGGGGAACATAATTTAGACTAAATAGAAATAGAATAACCTAGAACACATTTCTGTCAAGTAAACCCCCCCTAGTATCAAAGATCTAAAAAGTGACACATATGTGACATTGGGCGTTAATAGTAAAATAACTCTTATTTATAATTTGCTGATATTTAGTCCCTGGATCCTACGTTTCCCAGAATGCAACCCTCCTCTCTCTTCATCCCTTTAAAATGTTCTACCGAGCTGATGATGTTTGATTGTTGCTCACTCTGTGTTGTTGATGTCGGTGTACCAGCGTCCGTCGAAGCCTGGTTTCCTCTCCTTGTTCCCTGCCTCCTCTCCTGCCTCCTCCCTCTCCTTGGCTCTCCTCTTCAGGTACTCTGTCTCCTGCTTCCTCACCTCCTTCCTCACCTCCTCCAGACCCTGAAGGGATCGAATCCTCTCCGAGCGGCTGATCTCCGTCCCGTCCAGACGCTGAAAGGACGAATGAATACTTACATTAAACGATACTTCAGTCTGGAAACTAGATCCAGAATCAAGTGATGTTTATTTATATACTGTCTGATGTATGTTATATATATTAGATAGAGAGATAGATATATAGATAGATAGAGAGAGAGAGAGATAGATAGACGGATAGATAGATAGACGGATAGATAGATAGATAGATAGATAGATAGATAGATAGATAGATAGATAGATAGATAGATAGATAGATAGATAGATAGATAGATAGATAGATCACCTGTAGTTGGGGTAGAGTTGCCACCACGTACTTCCTGTACCCCTGGAACTCTGAGCAGGGGTTTCCCACCAGGTAGAGGTCAGCCAGGTGAACGTTGTGTTTCAGAGACTCCACGCTGCTCAGGAGACCCACGAAGTTCACCGTCAGGTCCAGCTTCTGGAGGCTCTCACAGCCTACACACACACACACACACACACACACACACACACACACACACACACACACACACACACACACACACACACACACACACACACACACACACACACACACACACACACACACACACACACACACACACACACACACACACACACACACACACACACACACACACACACACACACAATTATATACAGTGTCTCACACACAGTAAGCACAACATGTCACAACGTGGAAAGTATTATTGGTATATTAGTATTCCTACGGTGGCCCTGAAGGTCACACACACACACACACACACACACACACACACACACACACACACACACACACACACACACACACACACACACACACACACACACACACACACACACACACACACACACAGGTACAGACGGTGCAAATTAGGGTATAATTAATAACTAACACTACAGGAGATATTGTGCAATTAAAAACAACACACACACACACACACACACACACACACACAAAACAGAGTTTATAGCTTTAACGTATTATCAAATACACACAAAAACACAACAAACTGACCTTCAAGGTTTTCAATGACTTCAATGTTGTTCAAGGCCAGATTCAAGTACTCCAGTTTCTTCAGGCGACCCACATTCTCTAGAGGAAAAAATAAGATGTTAAGTAAGATATTGAAAAGATAACAAGATACAAACATGACCGTGGGATTTGTAGAATTCCCTGTTAACACGGATAGGTTATTTATCAGAAACGTCAATATTTGAACTGAAATACTTACATTTGAACCCAATCTCCTCTCTTTTCTAACACCTTGAACCTCTATGTAGACGTTCGGGACTATCTTTCATTGTCATGCATCTCTTTTTAAACATTTGGAGCACGTTTCCAACCCAGATGTCTAGAAAGAGACTCACCGATCGTGGGGATGAGGTTGTTCTGCAGGTAGAGGATCTTCAGCTCTTTGCACCAGCGCTCGATGTGTTCGATCCTCTCCAGGTGCTGCTGGTGGAGAGTCACTTCCTCCAGAGAGAAGATCTCACACTCGTTGTGTTCGGCCCGGCGGCGAATCAGATCCTCTGTGACTGACGGACACAAAATGTATAATAAACGTTTATAAAAACTAGAATAAAACTCAACAGAACACCAGCAGGGACAGAGGAGTCACTGTGGTTCTATATTAGCATCATATATACTTCAATTGTGTTAGCTGTAGCCCTTCATGGTGTTTATTTGATAGTCCAACACTTTCATGATCAATCATTATAAAACATATCATATATATTATTCTGAAATGGACCAATCTGCACAATGACTACTTTTACTGTCGCTACTTTCACTATATTTTGATGATAATACTTTTCTACTTTCACTTGAGCGACATTTTGAATGCAGGACTTTTACTGTAACAGAGTATTCCTACACTCTGGTACTTCTACTTTTACTCAAGTACAAGATCTGAGTACTTCTACTTTCACTCAAGTATAAGATCTGAGTACTTCTACTTTTACTCAAGTATAAGATCTGAGTACTTCCACTTTTACTCAAGAACAAGACCTGAGTACTTCTACTTTTACTCAAGTACCAGATCTGAGTACTTCTCCCACCTCTTTTTCCACTAAATACAAATACACGTGATATAAATAAATAATGAAAATACAAATTATAAACTCATTCAAACTAGCATGCTAAGTGTTTGTAGCAGTAGCTCCTGTGTTGTTAGCTGGACTTAGCTACAAACTGTATCTTTAATAACTGCTACTACTTCTAAAAAGAGCTTCCTTAAATAATACATATAAACTATGACTGATGTTGGATTGAAATTAAGATCATTAGTGACCCAACATTAACATTATCTGTGACTGTTAGCATGAAGCTATCTAAAAAAAGACTCATAATTGACATTAACTGTGTTCTCATCGTCACTAACTTTCAAAACTACACTGCTATCTCGCTATAAACACATATAAAGTAACACGTATCATCTACAAATCATATATACAAACGTTTAAATGCAGTTTAAAAGTTAAATGCTGTTTTAATTTGTTGATATATATATCTATATATATATATATTATATGTTTTAACTCACTGTGAACCATCTTGCGCTCTGTCTGTTGTCTGGCGTTGCCTTGGAAACCGAACTGGTGCTGCGTTCGGGTACGGTGGGAAATACAACAACTCCTTCTTCTTCTTCAGATTTCATGGCAGGCGCATTACTAAGTGTAAGGTGCATTACTGCCCCCTACTGTGCTGGAGTGTGGACCGGATATCAAAATAAAAGTTCTTCATACAAGAATTTAGTTTTCTTGTAATAACATTTAGTTTGTTTTATAGAATTTCGACTTTATGTAGAATTGTTTTTTTTTATATAATTTTTTTATTTTTATAGAATTTAGTTTTCTTTATAGAATTTTGACTTTTTATAGAATTTAGTTTTCTTTATAGAATATATATATATATGTGTGTGTGTGTGTGTGTGTGTGTGTGTGTGTGTGTGTGTGTGTGTGTGTGTGTGTGTGTGTGTGTGTGTGTGGGTGTGTGTGTGGGTTACAGGTGTGTGTAGGCCTAGGTGTACAATACTGTAACTGTATACTGTACACCAGGGCTATTCAATTAGTTTGGAATGGGGGCCGGTTGATGAAAATGATCCAAAGCAAGGGGCCGGGAAAAAGATGGCTTGAAATATTACATGTTACATACTTTTATCCAAAGCAATTTACATACTCAATACTGTGGGCAATCCCCACAGGAGCAATTTGGAATGAAGTGTCTCAGGGACACAACGACATGCTGACTGCAGTGGGGTTTGAACCTGTGACCTGATCCGAACACCTACGGATAACCCACTACGCCACACGCCCCCTGAGCAATCATATTAAGAGCTTCAGATACAGTAAATACTACAACAGCATAGTGGAGTGCATATATTGTGTTTAATTAAATCAAACAACATAGCCCCAAGGCCTTTATAGATCTAAATGGCAAGTTCAGAACTCAGTAGGCCTACATGTGAAGCTAATTTAACCATCAACATCATTTAATTTGATTTAATTCAGGTAAAATGATCTAATCATTCACGCAGAGATGCAATAAATGACAGGAGTTGTCACTACAGTAGCTAGTAGGTGGGTTCGAAACCCGAGCCTGCAGACGTTTTCAGGCAATGTCTTCCCCTCTATCTCTCAATTTAACACCCTCTCTGGAATAAAGGCACTCTGGCCCAAAATAAATAAATAAATAAAAATGTGATTACTTTTTAACATTATACTCAAAGGGCCAGTAAATATCACCCCGGGGCCGGATTTGGCCCGCGGGCCGCCAATTGAATCGCCCTGCTGTACACAGTCTATGGTTATTATACATCCATGGGTTAAACCCTTTGTATACAGTCTAAGGTTAAACCCTGCTTAAATGGGACAACTACGCCGCCTGCTGTTGCAAATGTGATATTACGGGTTTACCCCATAGCAACAGCATAGCAACCGCATAGTAACCACATAGCAACCGCATAGCAACGGAGGTAAGGTGTCTCAAATGTCTGTGGATAAAATAATATTTTACTAACTTGAGAAGCTCATAAAAGTTAAGCTGGCTTTACTTGGTTGAATATTAACTGTTTATGATTCAATTCTCCATGTTTTTGTTCAATTGACTTTTCCTTTTATTTGTTTTATTCATTGTATAAATCTCACTAATGTAGCTAGCTAACAAGCTAACCTTAGCGTGATGTTTTCAGACGGAGCATGTGCTGTTTGTCCCACAAATTACAGCGGTGTGAAGTAACTAAGTAGATTCACTCAAGTACTGTACCTAAGTAATATTCTTACGTACTTATACTTCTACTCCACTACAGTTCAGAGGTAAATGATGTACTTATACTCCACTACATTTATTTAATCCCTTTAGTTACTTCACAGATGTGGATGAATGATGTGAAATATAATCAAGTGTTAAATCAGACTTTAGTTCCACCTGGAGTAAATCCACAAGCTACCCTGCAGTATACAAAGTCATTCAAACTAGCTGCACCTTTACCAGCTTTGAGAACACTTTCATGATCAATCATTATAAAACATATCATATATATTATTCTGAAATGGACCAATCTGCACAATGACTACTTTTACTGTCGCTACTTTAACTATATTTTGATGAGAATACTTTTCTACTTTTACTTGTAACAGAGTATTCCTATACTCTTTACTCGAGTACAAGATCTAGGTACTTCGTGTCAACGCTGCCGAACGAGAAGCAAGACAAAATGTGATCAGTCAGTGTCAAACGCTGTAGATACAGATTAATAATAACACCCTATGACTCACACTTTTTGAAATGTGCCAACGTCAAGGGCGAAAGTTGGGCCATTTTGCCTTCATGCTCCAATGAGCAGCTCTCATAGGAAAGAACGAGACCCCGCCTCCCACGCTGTATCCAGTTCTTATTATTCCCTCTCCATTCATTCTATTAGAGAGGCGAAGTCCCTCCCTTTCCGGGGGAGCCCCATGGGACCTTATTTCGGAAAAAGTATGTATTGAAGTCAAAGGGGAGAGAAAGATTATCTTTCGATCCCGTTTTTTGTGTGAAACCGCTCAATGAACTACATCTGCCGTCTCGCACCACACACCAAGACGGCCGTCACGTTGGCACATTTCACTTCTTTCTTTCAGAATGAGGCGAAAAGTATTAAAAGAGGTGAAAATCACTACAAGTCTGGGCATGTTGAGAGCTGTACACACACACAAGGGGAGTTAGTCGGTTCCTAAGAGCCAGCATGCGGGACCGGGATTCTGGGATTTGTAGTCTTTCTAGTTGCTTATTTTTCATAGTCTTAATTATTTTTTAAATAACAAATACGTCTCTACTTTAAAGAGTCCTCTCCTGCTGATGTTCAGGTGTATATCAGTATGTAGTGTCTCTACTTTAAAGAGTCCTCTCCTGCTGATGTTCAGGTGTATATCAGTATGTAGTGTCTCTACTTTAAAGAGTCCTCTCCTGCTGATGTCCAGGTGTATATCAGTATGTAGTGTCTCTACTTTAAAGAGTCCTCTCCTGCTGATGTTCAGGTGTATATCAGTATGTAGTGTCTCTACTTTAAAGAGTCCTCTCCTGCTGATGTTCAGGTGTATATCAGTATGTAGTGTCTCTACTTTAAAGAGTCCTCTCCTGCTGATGTTCAGGTGTATATCAGTATGTAGTGTCTCTACTTTAAAGAGTCCTCTCCTGCTGATGTTCAGATGTATATCAGTATGTAGTGTCTCTACTTTAAAGAGTCCTCTCCTGCTGATGTTCAGGTGTATATCAGTATGTAGGTTCCTTAACAAATCCACCTTCATGAACAGATTATTTTTTATCATTTTATTTTAGACACAGATCAGAAAGCAGAGATTCTCCTGTAACATTTCCTCTGAGTGAACACCAACGGACAGCGAGTGAAACTACACACATACTTGTACAGTCATGTCTATAAATATGTACATATCGTGTAATATTGTACATGTGATATACACAGTGAGGTTTGAAATGAATCTGCTCTTCGTACACTTCTTTTAAAAGGCTAGAAAAAAAATCGACTTCTTCATAACGTTTATAAAACAGTGAAATACAAAAAAAAGAAATTAAAACTAAACTCATAATGTGTAGTTATGTTGTGATTGTATTCTACTCTCTGAATGCTGTCAGCTGCCACATCAACTGTAACAATAAAATAAACAAACACATAAAAACACAAATGAAAGATACACAGTAAACAAACAGTGATGAGTAATACCCAGGGACATTTGACGGGCCACATCAGCTTGAAAATAACTAGTTTAAAGTCAAATAAAGACGTGCCAAGAGATCCCCACCCCCTCTTTAATTAACAAAATGGAGATAGGTGCTTTGCCAAAGAGACTGAAAGGGCCAAAAAAACACTTAATTTAAAGTAGTGTTCCTCAAATGGTGGCATGTGTCCCCCTAGGGGTGCTTTGAGGTACTGCATGAGGTACGCTTTAATGTTAATACAAAAATATCACTTAATGCATGAAGCTTAAATTAATGAAACCATAATATATTCAATTAAATAGTACATTTACAACTGTTTTTGTATTAAATGTTCCCCATCAATGCCAGTGAGAGCGGGACGCCAGGTTTGATATTAAATTAAGTTTTGGTCGCAGCAATACTGTTGAAAACACGAAGAAAAAAGTGAAAAAGATCCCTGTGTTTCTCACTTACATGAAGCTGAAAACACAGAGTGAAAAAGTGAAAAAGATGCCCATAAAAAATATATTTAAAAAAAGGGTTAAATTTTAAAAAAACACACCGCTCTAAATCATAAAGCTCACCTGTAGAAACTGGCTGTTTTGAAAATTGAGAAATTTGCAAAACATTCACAAAGATGTTAAAGTAAATGCATTTGGCTATTTTTGTGAAGTGAAGGACTTCTCAGTGTTTAAGGTCCAAGTGTCGACAATATAGTATATATAATATATTTTGTAATGAATTCTGTCTATACCCGATCATTATGAAGCTCTGCACCATGATCCTAAACAACAGAACATCTTACTAAGCGGAGCCTTCATTTATTTATCGTTTTACAAAATATATGGTACCTCAGATCCTGGAGAAAAACACTGAATGATTTTCTTTCTTATCAAATATTCACCGAGTGACTGTCCGCCATTTTGTATCCTTCAATCAAAACTAAACAAAGCATTTTTTTAACTAATAGTTCGGCGACACCTTCTCCTTCATTTGTCTGAACTCACGGTTGTTTAATGGACGGACTTCCTGCCTAAAATGTTTTCAATATTTCTCCGTCTCTCGTGCCGTTTTGGGGACTCTCAAACGGCCTCTGCTGATTTACAAAGTGGCTTCACACGCTGCCATCGAGTCCCACTTTAACAGACCGTCCTGCAGGTTTTAATGGCACCTTTAACATATTAAACGTCCTTAAATTAAACTCCAAAAAAAGCAGAATATTTGTATATAATTTGCCGTTGGCGTGTTTGGCCCTTACACTTATTTTTCTTGCACCCCTTATAATTAAATGTACAAAAACACAACAGTACAATAAGTCCCTCCTGATATTTATGGCTTTTTTTTTTTAACATATTCCCGTTCATTAAATTAAACATCTCCTTTAAATAATATTAATGTCATCTTTTAGTCTTTTCCTGATGGTTAGGGTATTTCTTTGCCTTATAAAAAAGACACTTAAGGCAGAGACATCTGGGTGGTAGTGGAGCCTCGCAGCGGAGGAACTGTGACGCGTTTGGGGGGGGGGGGGGGGGGGGGGTGCTAGTGGAGCCTCGAAACTGTGACGCGCTTACACTGTAGGTGCGCCACGTTTGGGGGTGCGGGTGCTAGTGGAGCCTCGCAGATGGGGGTGCTGCAGCCCCCTCAGCACCCCCCCTTCCCGCGTCCATGACAATACTTATAATATTTGGTAATATTTCCATCAACAAAAACTAATTAATTTATTTCTGTTTCTAGAAAAAAGGCAACCGTTTCAACATGGCTACTCCCAGCTGTTTTGTTATTATTTCGTGGTCCAATCAGATCGTCAAGTATACAGTCTCCCATAATCCTTTGCGTGCTAACCAAGCTCTCATGCTAAAGTCATAGCTACTTTTACTCTCATCAACGAAGGAAAGCAGAAGCACTTCAAATATCCCGATTTTAACATATTTTAGTTTTAAGCGTCAGTTTTTAATATCGTACATTTTTCAGATTCTTTAATCATGATTTTATAATGTGATTTAAACATTATAAAAACGACAAAATCTGATATTATGGGGTGAAAAAAAACCTTGATAGTTTAGTAAATATATTTTTAAAAATGGATCCAATCAGCCTCAAGAGCTTTTTATGTGGACTTTTAACAGCTGTCCAAGAAAATAAAAAGCTTCTATCTGAGTCTCGAGACATGGCAACTTCCTGTGCAACATTTCTGTGTTTGAACTGGTGCTCCTTCCCGCTTCATGTGGAAACACACGCTAAACAAAGCTTACTAAGGTCTATAACAAATAAAAAAATAAAGCACTACACTTCTGACAGACACACTGAATACAGTGATGACCTATTTCTGTGTTGGACCCTGAAGGCAGCATCTCCCCGGTCCAATGGGATTCCTCCATGTGATTTTGGATTATTGCAGAGAAAAAAAATGTCTGTGTCAAACTGAAGTTTATGATGTCATAAAGAAACTACAGCACGTCACCACCGCTAAGCTAAAGGCGGCTAATGTTAAGCGTGATGATGTTCAGTCGTCTCATTTAGACACTTGTTAGCATCCTCCGTTTTTAAATTCACTTTTCCACACACCTTATTTCAGGCTAATAACCAAAAACACATCCAGAAAACCATTGACTTCGAGAGCAGGGGACAGGAAGTGATGACATGAGTGATGTCAGGGTTTCAGGGGGAACCTCGTCTCCGTCAGTATCCCAGGTCCAGCTGGATTTTGTGCTCGAAGACGGCGATGAGCAACATGATGCAGAAACCCAGCAGGATGCCGGCGTTCTGAAGCAGGAAGAAGCCGCAGTGGCTGAAGCCGTGATCGCCCGCGTCGTTATGCAACATCTCAGGAACCTGCGGAGAGAGAAACAACATGAAGTCACACTGATCTGTGATTGGCTTCTGTTAGAAAAATATCACTGGTCTCCGGAGCTTGATCTTCAACATCAGGATCCATGTGTTTGTGATCCTCTCCAGAATGGAAGTAGTCATCACATACAGAGCATCAACTAGTTCCTGAACAGTGTCCTTCACATGCTGATATCCAAGAGAGGGAGTTACACAGTCACAAGATGGAGGAATACCGGTTCTTGTAATCATACATCCTGTCATGTACAAAATGCTACGTTTTTTCTCAAAATGTTGGCTTTTTTCTGAAAATCCCGATTTTTTCTCAATCTCGAAAATCCTAACTTTTTTTCTCAAAATCTCAAAAATCCTGACTTTTTTCTCAAAATCTCAAAAATCCTGACTTTTTTCTCAAAAATCTGACTTTTTCCTCAAATTATGACTTTATCTCAAAATCTCAAAATCCTGATATTTTTCTCAAAATCTCAAATCCTAACTTTTTTCTCAAAATCTCAAAAATCCTGACTTTTTTCTCAAAAATCTGACTTTTTCCTCAAATTATGACTTTATCTCAAAATCTCAAAATCCTGATATTTTTCTCAAAATCTCAAATCCTGACTTTTTTCTCAAAATCCTGATATTTTTCTCAAAATCTCGAAAATCCGGACTCTCTCAAAATTATGACTTTTTCTGAATACTTAAAAATGTTAATAATCCCTGGTCCCCGGCTTGAGCTTCAATCTCAGGATCCATGTATTTGTGATCCTCTCCAGAATGGAAGTAGTCATCACATACAGAGCATCAACTAGTTCCTGAACAGTGTCCTTCACATGCTGATATCCAAGAGAGGGAGTTACACAGTCACAAGATGGAGGAATAGAAAGCAGTATTCAATGTTTACTTCAGATTAGCTCCACGTCAGAAATGAGCATGCTTGTCATATGTCTATCTCCATAGAGGCTGAATCATCATGTTAATCACATAGCTATCATATGCCTCAAACAGTCCTGATGCTCTTCTAGGTAATCATACATCCTGTCATGTTCACAGCTACAGTTGGGATACCTTTGTTAGCATGCTACTCTCTCAAAAAAAGCTATTTTTGCACATGTTGGCCAATAGAGGTCAGCATCGGACAAAATAAGCTTTCTTGGGTTTTTCAGACGGCAGCGGGCTGTGACAGCCTGTGTGTGTTTCTGTGTGTGTCTGTTTCTGTGTGTGTGTGTGTGTGTGTGTGTGTGTGTTTCTGTATGTCTGTGTGTGTGTTTCCGTGTGTGTCTGTTTCTGTGTGTGTGCGTGTGTGTATCAGGTGAGTGTGTGTTTCTGTGTGAGGTGAGTGTTTATTTTTGAAGTGTGTGTTTCTGTGTGTGTGTTTGTTTCAGTGTGTCTGTGTATGAGGTGAGTGTGTGCGTGTGCATGTGCGTGTGCGTGTGCGTGTGCGTGTGCGTGTGCGTGTGTGTCTCTTTTTCTGTGTGTCTGTATGAGGTGAGTGTGTGCGTGTGCGTGTGCGTCTGTATGAGGTTTTTTCTGTGTGTATGTCTGTGTTTCTGTGTGTGCGTGTGTGTGTGTGCGTGTGACGAGGCCATCTGTTCCTGAAGGCATCGCTCTCTGAGAGACAGACAGATGCTGCTGACTGCAAACTTTCACTTCTCCTGATGCCCAAAAACAAACAGTTTGAGATCAGAGACCTGAGGCCTGTACTACGAAGCCGGATTTTTGCTTAGCGAGCTGACTTCAGGGAAAACTCTGGGTTTCCGGTCCTACGACGCTGGTTCTCTTCTTAGCAGGCTAGATCTCCATGGTAACTTATGCTGAGCGGCTAGCCTGGTCCGGAGGAGGTTAGGTTGCAGGCTAAGAGATCAACTCAGTGAAAGCACTGCCTGCTGACCAATCAGAGCTCCGTGTGCGGAGTTTAAAGCGATCAAGTCATATTACAGGAGAGAGGAAATACAGAAAAACTGCCGTTGCAGGAAAGACGGCCGGCAAAAATCAACAGTCCGCGGCACTGTGAGTGCAGACGTTGATGTGTCCCATTATCATTCATATCATATCACATCATAATGTATCATATATTTCCTTATCTGAGTCAGCTGAGCCGTATCTGGCCGTGCAACACTCACAGTGTCACATACTGTATGCAGAAGTATTATTTTAAGCAACACATTAAGTTGACGAAACACTCGAGTCAAATGTAATTAAAGTCAGATCGTGTCTTAGACGGGGCAGTGATATCATGAACCTGTTAATGTACGCATTCAAACACTTTCTCTGTTACCAGCTGTATTCACCTTGCAGGTGCAGCTATGTGGCTTTGATCCTGGATAAAGTGTTTAAGTCATGGATGTTTAAAGTTTAACTTCTTCATATTTGACTAATATTAAAGTTCACTTTTCATTCAGGAAGTATGACGCTGCGCTGTCAGTACGCTTGTCCATGTTTGAGATTGGTCGAATGCTCCAAATACCACCCCTTTCATGTGAACGTGCACCTAACTAGATAGGACACGGCTGGCTTGAGTTAACGAGTTGATAACCAGCGTCGTAGGACCGATTAGCGAGAGCGCGTTTGTTTTGGATTAGGTAAGCCGGGCAACTCAAACATATCCAGGTTAGGTTGAACCAGCTTTGTAGTACAGGCCTCAGGAGACACAATGAAGAAGAAGAATAACAGGAACCATTTCTGATCGAAAGCCGGGCTGTTTGTTTACATATTCTGATATTTGTCCTGGTTGATGTTGCCAATGTATTATTATTATTATCAGAGGTGGGAAGTAGTGGAGTACAAATACTGCGTTACTGTACTTAAGTACATGTTTCTGGTATCAGTACTTTACTCCACTATTTATTTTTCTGACCACTTTCTACTTCTTACATGTTGAACACAAATACCTGTACTTTCTACTTCTTACATGTTGAACCCAAATACCTGTACTTTCTACTTCTTACATGTTGAACCCAAATACCTGTACTTTCTACTTCCTACATTTTGAACACAAATACCTGTACTTTCTACTTCTTACATGTTGAACCCAAATACCTGTACTTTCTACTTCTTACATGTTGAACACAAATACCTGTACTTTCTACTTCTTACATGTTGAACACAAATACCTGTACTTTCTACTTCTTACATGTTGAACACAAATACCTGTACTTTCTACTTCTTACATGTTGAACCCAAATACCTGTACTTTCTACTTCTTACATGTTGAACACAAATACCTGTACTTTCTACTTCTTACATTTTGAACACAAATACCTGTACTTTCTACTTCCTACATGTTGAACACAGATACCTGTACTTTCTACATTTTGAACACAAATACCTGTACTTTCTATTTCTTACATGTTGAACCCAAATACCTGTACTTTCTACTTCTTACATGTTGAACCCAAATACCTGTACTTTCTACTTCTTACATGTTGAACACAAATACCTGTACTTTCTACTTCTTACATGTTGAACCCAAATACCTGTACTTTCTACTTCTTACATGTTGAACACAAATACCTGTACTTTCTACTTCTGACATGTTGAACACAAATACCTGTACTTTCTACTTCTTACATGTTGAACCCAAATACCTGTACTTTCTACTTCTTACATGTTGAACACAAATACCTGTACTTTCTACTTCTCACATTTCCCAAACAGGCTGGTTCCTTTAGTTTGAATGTGTGTTTGGTGGCGTGATCATTATTATTTAGAGTCATTGCGTGCCTATTGATTTGAACACGATCCGTGTATCCATCATTTCCAGAGGCCTGCACTACGAAGCTGGATTTTTGCTTAGCTAACTTCAGGGAAAACTCTGGGTTTCCGGTCCTACGACGCTGGTTCTCTTTTTAGCGGGCTAGATTTCCATGGTAACTTATGCTGAGCGGCAAACCTGCTCCGGAGCAGGTTAGGTTGCAGGCTAAGAGATCAACTCAGTGAAAGCACCGCCTGCTGACCAATCAGAGCTCCGTGTGCGGAGTTTAAAGCGATCAATTCATATTACAGGATAGAGGAAATACAGAAAAACTGCCGTTGCAGGAAAGACGGCCGGCAAAAATCAACTGACTGTGTGAACGTGAATATTTATAGAATATCCCCTCCCATCTTCAGAGCAATCTGACTATTATAACATTAGCCTTAAGAAAGCTTACTTAAATATCTGCCACAACATAAGTAACCGGATCAGAGTAACATTACGTACAGTCCGCGGCACTGTGAGTGCAGACGTCGATGTGTCCCATTATCATTCATATCATATCACATCATAATGTATCATATTTCCTTATCTGAGTCAGCTGAGCCGTATCTGGCCGTGCAACACTCACAGTGTCACATACTGTATGCAGAAGTATTATTTTAAGCAACACATTAAGTTGACCAAACACTTGAGTCAAATGTAATTAAAGTCAGATCGTGTCTTGGACGGGGCAGTGATTTCATAAACCTGTTAATGTACGCATTCAAACACTTTTTCTTTTACCAGCTGTATTCACCTTGCAGGTGCAGCTATGTGGCTTTGATCCTGGATAAAGTGTTTAAGTCATGGATGTTTAAAGTTTAACTTCTTCATATTTGACTAATATTAAAGTTCACTTTTCATTCAGGAAGTATGACGCTGCGCTGTCAGTACGCTTGTCCGTGTTTGAGATTGGTCGAATGCTCCAAATACCACCCCTTTCATGTGAACGCGCACCTAACTAGATAGGACACGGCTGGCTTGAGCGATCCACTTGATAACCAGCGTCGTAGTACAGCTTAGCGAGAGCGCGTATGTTTTGGATTGGGCCAACCGGCTAACTCCAACATATCCAGGTTAGGAACATCCAGCTTTGTAGTACAGGCCTCTGGTCTTCTCTAAAGAAGAGGGACCAATGAAAACGTTGTCATGTTGCCGTTGTTCAGCATGGAAACATTCATTAGCTAACAATGACATTATTGTTCTATTAATATAAAGGGAGGTCAGGTACTCTTTAAAACAGCTGCTAGTTATGGGTACTTTTTACTTAAAGAGCCTGTGACACGAGTTTCCCCCATCATCCAAACTCATCAATGTTAGTAAATATTGTCCCCTTGAAACCGTTACTGAACTGATTTGGGATATTTGCACTTTGATAACCATTAATCTCCCCTTCAATGTTGACCATATTCTGGATCTTCTCGGGGGTTCTTCAAATCCCGCCAAATGATGTGTGACGTAATTGCGGGCCAAGAGCTCCAGCTGCACCGTTCCGGATCCCAGCATCTGTATGCAAACGCACGATGGCGCACACAGCAGCAAGTTCAGACAGCAATGACAGTTTCATTTTGAACGTGTCTGAGAGCTCATATGAGGCTGAAGGATCGGAAAGTGATAGTCATGACATCGTAGACGATATTGGCTATATGCCCTACAGATTCGAACCATATGCCTCGGAGTCTGAATCGAACTCCGAGTCGGACAGTGGAGACGACAACCCGCCCGACGATCGTGAGATACCTCTCGATCTACAACGCATGAACAATTTCTTTATTTAGCCTTTATTTATACAGGTGTAAAATCTCATTGAGACACAAGGTCGCATTTTCAAGAGAGACCTGTCAGTGGTAACACTACCACACAAAGTTACAGACAGACAGGACTTAGGTGCGTCAATATGGGCGATAATACGGTCATGTAGCCAGTGGCGGACTGGGACTAAAAATCAGCCCGGGACTCTCGACCGGCCCACTTCGGTACCGCTAGTAAATTGTCAACGGGGGGAGTGGGGGATGTGCTAGTGACTTATCCGACCGGCCCACTTCGGTACCGGCCCATCGGGATACGTCCCGATGGGCCGGTACCGAAGTGGGCCGGTCGGATAAGTCAGAATAAGTGGAGGACTGGCCATCGGGATTCGTCCCGATGGCCAGTCCTCCACTGCACCCAGCCCAGCCCACGTAAACTGTCAACGGGGAGAGCCTCGCTGCGGGGAAACGGTGGACCTAGTGTCCCGATCGGAGTGGGAATAATAATAATAATAATAATAATAATAATCATAAATCATAATCCGTGAATTTTATCCATTAATTTCCCCAACATTGTGGTAAAAAAAAAAACACGTTTAATCCACGTTGGTGTACTACAACTACAAAAAGCATCAGTTTGTCAGAATATTTTTAAACACGAGTATCTGTACTTCTACTTGAGTAAAGGATGTGTGTACTTGTACCCTCTCTTATTATTATGTATAATGAAAGTATCGTGGTGCCGTTTGTCCTCGACTCACCATGTCCACCAGCGCCACGTACAGGAAGAGTCCGGCTGTGAGGGCGAAGACCCACATGGACACGTTCTCCGCGTAATGTCCGATCAATATACCGATCACCACGCCCAGGTACGCCATCAAGGCCGACAGCCCGTTGTAGAGAATGGCCTGACGCACCGTCATTCCCGCCTTCAGCAGCACCGCAAAGTCCCCTGGGAAACGTAGTCAACAGTTAAAGTACAGACGAGGGACGAGTAATACAATAATACAAAAAAGAATAATGAGAATGAAACAAGAGAATTACGATACTGTACAAACTTAAGCCGTGTCAAATTGATCAACTGAAATATTACTGACTTACAAATGATATATAAACAAATGATCTATTACACATCCGGAAAGTTGTGGGAAGAAGTTTAAACTTATTTAATTCCCCCCCTTCTCCCAAAAACTACATTATTAACTCTTGATATAAAAATGTATTAACGATAAAAACGTTCTCTACTAAAATGCTTAAAAAAAACCTTTGAATGAATCCTGAACACATGTATAAACAATGTCAGATACATATCCAGAAAGTATGAGATCATAAAGCATGAAGGTGTTTCTGCGCAGCAGACGGAGCTCTTACCCAGCTCGTGAGGCAGCTCGTGGCAGAACACAGCCACGGAGGTGCTGAGGCCGCTGGACAGACCCTCCGTGAAGGCAGCGCCTGCAGAGACACGGGGTAACATCAATATATATATACACATCTATATAACATATATATATACACACACATCTATATAACATATATATATATATATATATACACATCTATATAATATACGGATCAACGCTACTGCACTGCTGACACCAGAAGAAAACCACCAAGTAGGGATTCACAATTAATTACATTTTAAATCACTATTAAGGTTTTTAACTTCCAATTAAATGCATTAAACTTTAAAATGTACAAGATCTGAGTACTTCTACTTTTACTCAAGTACAGGATCTGAGTACTTCTACTTTTACTCAAGTACAAGATCTGAGTACTTCTACTTTGACTCAAGTACAAGATCTGAGTACTTCTACTTTGACTCAAGTACAAGATCTGAGTACTTCTACTTTCACTCAAGTACAAGATCCGAGTACTTCTACTTTTACTCAAGTACAAGATCTGAGTACTTCTACTTTTACTCAAGTCCAAGATCTGAGTACTTCTACTTTTACTCAAGTACAAGATCTGAGTACTTCTACTTTTACTCAAGTACAAGATCTGAGTACTTCTACTTTTACTCAAGTACCAGATCTGAGTACTTCTACTTTTACTCAAGTACAAGATCTGAGTACTTCTACTTTAACTCAAGTACAAGATCTGAGTACTTCTACTTTTACTCAAGTACAAGATCTGAGTACTTCTACTTTCACTCAAGTACAAGATCTGAGTACTTCTACTTTCACTCAAGTACAAGATCCGAGTACTTCTACTTTTACTCAAGTACAAGATCCGAGTACTTCTACTTTCACTCAAGTACAAGATCCGAGTACTTCTACTTTTACTCAAGTACAAGATCCGAGTACTTCTACTTTTACTCAAGGACAAGATCCGAGTACTTCTACTTTTACTCAAGTACAAGATCCGAGTACTTCTACTTTTACTCAAGTACAAGATCTGAGTACTTCTACTTTTACTCAAGTACAAGATCCGAGTACTTCTACTTTTACTCAAGTACCAGATCCGAGTACTTCTACTTTTACTCAAGTACAAGATCCGAGTACTTCTACTTTTACTCAAGGACAAGATCCGAGTACTTCTACTTTTACTCAAGGACAAGATCTGAGTACTTCTACTTTTACTCAAGTACAAGATCTGAGTAGTTCTACTTTTACTCAAGTACCAGATCTGAGTACTTCTACTTTTACTCAAGTACAAGATCTGAGTACTTCTACTTTCACTCAAGTACAAGATCTGAGTACTTCTACTTTCACTCAAGTACAAGATCTGAGTACTTCTACTTTCACTCAAGTACAAGATCCGAGTACTTCTACTTTTACTCAAGTACAAGATCCGAGTACTTCTACTTTTACTCAAGTACAAGATCCGAGTACTTCTACTTTTACTCAAGTACAAGATCCGAGTACTTCTACTTTTACTCAAGTACAAGATCCGAGTACTTCTACTTTTACTCAAGTACAAGATCCGAGTACTTCTACTTTTACTCAAGGACAAGATCCGAGTACTTCTACTTTTACTCAAGTACAAGATCTGAGTACTTCTACTTTTACTCAAGTACCAGATCTGAGTACTTCTACTTTTACTCAAGTACAAGATCTGAGTACTTCTACTTTAACTCAAGTACAAGATCTGAGTACTTCTACTTTCACTCAAGTACAAGATCTGAGTACTTCTACTTTTACTCAAGTACAAGATCTGAGTACTTCTACTTTCACTCAAGTACAAGATCTGAGTACTTCTACTTTTACTCAAGTACAAGATCTGAGTACTTCTACTTTTACTCAAGGACAAGATCTGAGTACTTCTACTTTTACTCAAGTACAAGATCTGAGTACTTCTACTTTTACTCAAGTACAAGATCTGAGTACTTCTACTTTTACTCAAGGACAAGATCTGAGTACTTCTACTTTTACTCAAGTACAAGATCTGAGTACTTCTACTTTTACTCAAGGACAAGATCTGAGTACTTCTACTTTTACTCAAGGACAAGATCTGAGTACTTCTACTTTTACTCAAGAACAAGATCTGAGTACTTCTACTTTTACTCAAGAACAAGATCTGAGTACTTCTACTTTTACTCAAGTACAGGATCTGAGCCGTTGTATTTTTGCATAATGCATCTGAAGCTACGTCGCTATCGCCGCAGTTCAGAATCTGAATTCCTTTATCACAAGCAGAGGACACAAAATAAAGCTTCCGATTCAGATTCCCCTCCCAGTTTGTAACTCCCAGTCTGTAACTCCCAGTCTGTAACTCCCAGTCTGTAACTCCCAGTCTGTAACTCCCAGTCTGTAACTCCCAGTTTGTAACTCCCAGTTTGTAACTCCCAGTCTGTAACTCCCAGTTTGTAACTCCCAGTTTGTAACTCCCAGTTTGTAACTCCCAGTCTGTAACTCCCAGTTTGTAACTCCCAGTTTGTAACTCCCAGTTTGTAACTCCCAGTCTGTAACTCCCAGTCTGTAACTCCCAGTCTGTAACTCCCAGTCTGTAACTCCCAGTTTGTAACTCCCAGTTTGTAACTCCCAGTTTGTAACTCCCAGTTTGTAACTCCCAGTTTGTAACTCCCAGTCTGTAACTCCCAGTCTGTAACTCCCAGTTTGTAACTCCCAGTCTGTAACTCCCAGTCTGTAACTCCCAGTCTGTAACTCCCAGTTTGTAACTCCCAGTCTGTAACTCCCAGTCTGTAACTCCCAGTCTGTCTCACCGATGGCGAGGCCGTCGCTGAAGTTGTGCAGCCCGTCCCCCATGATGACCATCCAGGCGAGCGCGGCCACGCCGGCCTGCTGGAAGTGCTGCTCGGAGTAGGAGTGCGAGTGGGAGTGGGGGTGGTGGTTCTGGGAGTGGTGGTGGTGCAGGATGTGGTGGTAGTCGTGGTGATGGTGGTGCTGCCGGTCTGCGTTTCCCACCGTGTCGTGGAAGTGGGAGTGGCATTTGTTCTCGCAGTCCTCCGCCGTGTAGTCCACGGATTCTTCTGGAGCCGAAACGATGGAAACTTCGGGCTCTAACATCACCTGCTGCTCCTCGGCCTCGCTGCCCCCCCGCAGGGCGAGGGACGGGGCGCCGAACATCGCCGCGCCGTTAGTTTCCACCTCTGGAGGAAGAGGGAGCAGCTGGTAAACCACACAATAAACACCAAGGCTTTTATTGTCATGTGTGCATAGCTACAGTGTCGTTATGGCAACGGAAATCTGAGGTCACAGGCTCCTCCCACAGAGCAACACAGATAACAGTGCAAGTAAAAGAATTGGAATATATATAAGTTGCAAACGGATGAATGTTATGGATGCTCTTACAAAGTTCAGGTGTTTAACTGACAAACAACTCTAATTCAAATTTAAATAACGAAACGCTGCTTTTAGTTTTTAAGCACCCCACAAATGGAACAAACTTCCCGAAAACCTGTACATTGATATTACATTTATTTTATATAATCCATTCCTTGCACAACACATGTATGTATAATATCCTGCTTTATATTTTGTCACTGAAAATGTGTCATTCCACGAGTAGATTTTCTACTTTTTTTTTTAAATGCTATTTAATTTCTATTTGCATTTTGGATTGTTTATTTCTAGTCTTTTAATTCCTCTAATGTGAACGCCTTGTCTTTTCACGCTGCTGCGACGCAAACATGTCCCACCTCTGGATCAATAAAGCACTTCTGATCTTATCGCTGAGTTCTTTTAAGTCGAGGCTAAAAACATGACTTTTTTTCAGCGTCTTCCCCAGAAGCCTTTTAACTTGTTTTAGCACCTACTCTATTTACAATGTTGATTTTAATCCATCTCTCTTATGCATGGTTTCATGAATCTGTTCCTCCATTGTGTTTATGTCTTGTGTTCCTTTCTTTGATCTCATTATTAAGTTCTGATGTAAAGCACTTTGAATTGTGTCTGAAAATGTGCTTTATAAATAAACGTACCTTACACAACAACGCAGCACATTTACTCATCGACTTTCCAGCCAAGATGTTAACGACCAACATGTCGGGATTTCTTCTCATTTGCGGCTTCTATTAAAAGTTTTCTGGGTCTTGTTATTCAAGACTTTGTTGTCATTAGCCACAGTGTAGATATGTAAATGGAACTTAGGTCAGACTGAAGCATCCTTTGTGCTCCAGTCTGACCTCTCAGTGAACACAGAGCTGAGTCCAGATCAGATGCTTTGACCAGGGGCCTATACTACGAATCAGGATCTTCGTTTAGCGAGCTAACTTCCTGGGTTTCCGGTCCTACGAAGCTGGTTCACTTTTTAGCGGGCTAGATAACTTATTCTGAACGGCTAGCCTCCAGAGCAGGATAGGTTCCAGGATAAAAGCACCGCCTGTTGACCAATCAGAGCTCAGTGTGCGGAGTTTAAAGCAATCAAGTCATATTACAGGAGAAAGGAAATACAGTTTAAACTGCCGTTGCAGGAAAGACGGCTGGCCAAAATCACCGACTGTGTGAACGTGAAAATGAATAGAATATCCCCTCCCATCTTCAGAGCAATCTGACTATTATAACATTAGCGTTAAGAAAGCTTACTTAAATATCTGCCACAACATAAGTAACCGGATCATAGTAACATTAAGTACAGTCCGCGGCACTGTGAGTGCAGACGTCGATGTGTCCCATTATCATTCATATCATATCACATCATAATGTATCATATATTTCCTTATCTGAGTCAGCTGAGCCGTATCTGGCCGTGCAACACTCACAGTGTCACATACTGTATGCAGAAGTATTATTTTAAGCAATACATTAAGTTGAGGAAACACTCGAGTCAAATGTAATTAAAGTCAGATCGTGTCTTAGACGGGGCAGTGATTTCATAAACCTGTTAATGTACGCATTCAAACACTTTCTCTGTTACCAGCTGTATTCACCTTGCAGGTGCAGCTATGTGGCTTTGATCCTGGATAAAGTGTTTAAGTCATGGATGTTTAAAGTTTAACTTCTTCATATTTGACTAATATTAAAGTTCACTTTTCATTCAGGAAGTATGACGCTGCGCTGTCAGTACGCTTGTCCGTGTTTGTGATTGGTCGAATGCTCCAAATACCACCCCTTTCATGTGAACGCGCACCTAACTAGATAGGACACGGCTGGCTTGAGCGATCGAGTTGATAGCCAGCGTCGTAGTACAGCTTAGCGAGAGCGGTTTTTCTTTGGATTTAGTCAACCGGATAACTCAAAACATATCCAGGATATGTTGAACTAGATTCGTAGTATACCCCCCAGCTTTTCTCTCACTGATCCTGCCGTTATGTTACATGTTTGTTTCTCATGTATTGAGTCTTGATATTTGTTGATGTTACACACTTAAATCATGTCCACATGGATAGGAAACTAAATACATTTGCACACATCTTGTGTCCATATCTTTCTGTTGTGGTGGTCATGCCACACCGTGCACGTGCATGCATGCCACACCGTGCACGTGCATGCATGCCACACCGTGCACGTGCATGCATGCCACACCGTGCTCGTGCATGCATACGCGAGTCATGGTGAGATATCTGGATTAAGAGGTTGCTTTTTCTTTGCACAGCATGAAAGAAAGGTGAAATGAATGGGCTGTGATTTTAGTATTTTTAAGCAGAGGTCAATAATCTGTACGGCCCTCGGAGGATGTTGAAAAAATTGAAATGGCCCGTGAGAGGAGACAGGTTCCTGGTGTATATACAAGTGAATGGAATAAGATGCCGTTATCCCCTCAGAGAGTTTCTCCTCACCTTCAGCCGGCTTCAGGTCCTCCAGCGCCGGCTGCTTCTCTGCATCTGCTTTATCGTTCTTCTGGACCTGAAACACAAACAACCACAACACTAAAGCTCCTGATGACCAGAGTCTCCAGAGGAACAGCCTGGACCTCCACTGATACCCAAGCAACATGTGAATATTTAAAAAAAGTCCCTCAACATTTTAAAATTTGAGAATTGAATGCGTATAAAATGACATATTCCTAAGTCCAATCAAATATACATTAATTTAGACATTGCTGGGTATTTAACTCCAATAGTCAATACATACATGTTGGAATATTCCTGGTATCATAAGTACTCAAAGTTGTCATTGCATTTTACAAAGCATAATCCGTGTTTTGAATAGTTAAAAAAATACATATAACCCTATGTTTTGTATATAAATACAGTAGTCTGATTCCAACAGTTGTACACTACACCTTATTCAGTTATCTGGCAGTTTAAAGAGGAACATGGACCTTATTTCCCCACATCCGTGTCCAAACGTGACTTATTTTGTTATATCACTTCAGTGTTGAGCAAACGTGCTGCAATGCAACCCTTCATCAGTGCAATTACACAAACAGGAGCAACAGTTTCAGACGTTTCTAATTAAAGCCTGGATGAATGTGTTATTATAATAAACTTTGACCCCTTTAATAATAACCAACACACAGAGACTCAGGGTCAGTTTCATCCCACAGGCCATAAGACACCTGAACTTTTTAAAGAACATCCGTAACTGTAAACGTATCTGTTTGCATCTTGAAAATTATTTATCTAATATTCCTTTTACTACATTGTTAAAAGTACTGCACTTGTACTGTGACCTCAGTTTTTCATTGACATTTCTACACTGTAGCTACGAGAGAGGTGGGAAGTAGTGGAGTACAGTATGATATATTGTAGGGCCATACCTATATAAGGTATATTTATACGTTTCTGTTTTCAAAATACCAAACAGATCATGCATTTTAGCCATGCCTCATTTCGCTCTATGTGCTGTTTGCTGTCTACGGGGCTGATTCTGCTGACCACGCCCCCCTGCAGGAGAGGGGAGACGTGCTCTGATCAGCTGCTGGGCTGTCAGAAGAGGGGGAGAAAAAGAGATCTCCGTCCTCCGTGTTTTATTATATAGAGTTGTTATTCATTTGTTTTAAAGCTCAATAAATAACAAAGAAGACCTTTGACCGGCACTTTTCAAATTTTGTCCGGAAGATTTAAACTTTAACGGACATCTTGACCGGCGAAACAAACTGAAACTCTGCCGCACGGTCCCCTCGTTCCTTGGAAGAGGCGGAGAGGTGGGTGTTTGTCATCTGCTGGTGGACTAACCGGAGAGAATTACAGCGCTTGCCTCGACGGGGAGGGATTGCATTGAATTAAAGCAGCGGGAGCAAACGCTTGCCTCGGGGAGGGAGAAAGAAAGCCACAGCGGAGAATAAACAGAAGGGTAACCATGGTAACTATGGGCGGGAAGTCTTCTTCGCTGCTTTTGTGGCAGACTACAGCGCCACTTACAGGCCTGGCATATGTACTACAGCGTCTCCAGCGCTTTCGAACGGCAATGGCCGTGGCTGTCTCCTCCTGATTGGTGGAGTTGGCCCAATAGCCGTAGCGCCACCGTCCTGACGTCAGGACAGTGTTCAAATCTGGATCAGTTTTTATCAGATCCATTGCAGCCCCTTTTTTAGAGATTTGGGTATGGAGGAAAATAGAGAGGGTTGTGTTTTCTGACACTTGGTGAGTTCCCTGGAACACCGGGGACACATATTCATGTAGAAAAGACGTACAAAAGTGCATTTTGCATGATAGGTCCCCTTTAAGTACATTGTTCTGGTATCAGTACTTTACTCCACTACTTATTTTTCTGACTTCTTACATGTTGAACACAAATACCTGTACTTTCTACTTCTTACATGTTGAACTCAAATACCTGTACTTTCTACTTCTTACATGTTGAACACAAATACCTGTACTTTCTACTTCTTACATGTTGAACACAAATACCTGTACTTTCTACTTCTTACATGTTGAACACAAATACCTGTACTTTCTACTTCTTACATGTTGAACACAAATACCTGTACTTTCTACTTCTTACATGTTGAACACAAATACCTGTACTTTCTACTTCTCACATTTCCCAAACAGGCTGGTTCCTTTAGTTTGAATGTGTGTTTGGTGGCGTGATCATTATTATTTAGAATCATTGCGTGCCTATTGATTTGAACACGATCCGTGTATCCATCATTTCCTGGTCTTCTCTAAAGAAGAGGGACCAATGAAAACGTTGTCATGTTGCCGTTGTTCAGCATGGAAACATTCATTAGCTAACAATGACATTATTGTTCTATTAATATAAAGGGAGGTCAGGTACTCTTTAAAACAGCTGCTAGTTATGGGTACTTTTTACTGAAGTACATTTCAAAGCCCTCTTTACTTTGACTTGAGTAAAGAAGTTTAGTCAGTACTTCTACCAGAGTATTTTTAAACACGAGTATCTGTACTTCTACTTGAGGAAAGGATGTGTGTACTTTTGCCCTCTCTGCTAAATAAAGCCTTGAATCTGAACCGTGTCTGACCTTCTGCTTCTTGTCCTTGTACATCTTCCCCAGCGTGAGGAAGTGTTCGATCAGGAACATGATGTACACGCCGCTCAGAGCCGTCAAACCTTTCCAAACGCCGTCCAGGTTCTCCTCCTCGTGGTGCTCGTGTCCCGAATCATTCATCCCAGAATCCTCGTGGTGGTGATGGTGGCCGCCCTGAGACTGAAAAAAAGACGGACATGAAGATGGATAAGACGCCGAGGTAAACACTAGGGGTGGGAATCACCAGGCTCCCCACGATACGATACTATCGCGATACTTAAGCCACGATTAGAAAGTATTGCGATACGATATATTGCAAATCACATGGCTCATGTCCGTCTTCCCCTCCTGGTTAAAACATGTATTTGCAATATGAATAGTTTATGTGAATAACCCAATGTGTGTTCTTTGAACCTGAAAAGGAGATTGTTTTTGTTACTTTCATTGCATGTCTTAATGAAACGTCCTGTTTTATATAGACATGCTTTTATTTAGAAGGCGGCTTTGCGCTATTAGCAGGAGCAGAGTGCATCCGAGTCGCTGTTTACTGACTTCAGGAGCTGTATAGTGACTCACGTGCGGGATGAGGTGCAGGAAGGCGTCTCCGCTCAGCGTCCCCACGGCCAGCGCCACCAGGAAGCTGAGCAGGAACTTGAAGAAAACTTTGTTCATCAGCGGGATGAGAACGACTCCGGCCAGCGAGAGCAGGCTGATCACCGTGATGGAGAGGAAGCCCCCGACCCACGCTGCGCACACACACACACAGTAACACACACACACACACACACACATAGTAACACACACACACACACACATAGTCACTAACATATCACTTTAATGGGACTGTAGCTGGGAAACATTTTTAAAGTGCTCCTTCAAACACAGATTACAGTAATTAGAAGTCAAAGTCTACTTTATTGTCAATTTTTCTCTATCTCTCTCTCCCTGTGTGTGTGTGTGTGTGTGTGTGTGTGTGTGTGTGTATGTATGTATGAGGTGTGTGTGTCTGTATGAGGTGTGTGTGTGTGTGTGTATGTATGAGGTGTGTCTATATGGTGTGTGTGTGTATGAGGTATGTGTGTCTGTATGAGGTGTGTGTGTGTGTCTGTATGAGGTGTGTGTCTGTATGAGGTATGTGTCTGTATGAGGTGTGTGTGTATGAGTTGTGTGTATGAGGTATGTGTGCGTGTGTGTATGAGATATGTGTGTGTCTGTATGAGGTGTGTGAGTGTGTGTGTCTGTATGAGGTGTGTGTCTGTATGAGGTGTGTGAGTGTCTGTATGAGGTGTGTGAGTGTCTGTATGAGGTGTGTGTGTCTCTATGAGGTGTGTGCGTGTGTGTGTGCATGTGTGCGTGTGTGTGTGCATGTGTGTGTATGAGGTGTGTGTGTGAGGTGGGTGTGTGAGGTGGGTGTGTGTGTGTGAGGTGGGTGTGTGTGTGTGAGGTGTGTGTGTGTGTGTGAGGTGTGTGTGTGTGTGTATGAAGTATGTGTGTCTGTATGAGGTGGGTGTGTGAGGTGGGTGTGTGTGTGTGAGGTGGGTGTGTGTGTGTGAGGTGGGTGTGTGTGTGTATGAAGTATGTGTGTCTGTATGAGGTGTGTGTGTGAGGTGGGTGTGTGAGGTGGGTGTGTGTGTGTGAGGTGTGTGTGTGTGTGTATGAAGTATGTGTGTCTGTATGAGGTGTGTGTGTGTGTGTGTGTATGTATGAGGTGTGTCTATATGGTGTGTGTGTATGTATGAGGTGTGTCTATATGGTGTGTGTGTGTCTGTATGAGGTGTGTGTGTGTGTCTGTATGAGGTGTGTGTCTGTATGAGGTATGTGTCTGTATGAGGTGTGTGTATGAGTTGTGTGTATGAGGTATGTGTGCGTGTGTGTATGAGGTATGTGTGTGTCTGTATGAGGTGTGTGAGTGTGTGTGTCTGTATGAGGTGTGTGTGTCTGTATGAGGTGTATGAGGTGTGTGAGTGTGTGTATGAGGTGTGTGAGTGTGTGTATGAGGTGTGTGAGTGTGTGTATGAGGTGTGTGAGTGTCTGTATGAGGTGTGTGTGCATGTGTGCGTGTGTGCATGTGTGCGTGTGTGTGCATGTGTGTGTATGAGGTGTGTGTGTGAGGTGGGTGTGTGTGTGAGGTGGGTGTGTGTGTGAGGTGGGTGTGTGTGTGTGAGGTGTGTGTGTCTGTAATGTGTGAGGTGTGTGTGTCTGTAATGTGTGAGGTGTGTGTGTCTGTAATGTATGAGGTGTGCGTGTGCGTGTGTGTGTGTGTGTGTATGAGGTGTGTGTCTGTATGAGGTGTGTCTGTAATGTATGAGGTGTGTGCGTGTGTGTGTCTGTATGAGGTGTGTAATATATATATATATATATATATATATATATATATATATATATATATATATATATATATATATATATATATATATATATATGTGTACAGTATACATAAATACACACCTGTACACCCACTTACATATATTATATACTGATATATAGACACATATATACTTTTAATTTAATTTCACACTTTTTATGTATAAAGTACACGAGGTTTATATTTTGGTATACAAGACAGTATATTTTATAATGTTTAAATACTCTTCTGAATATAGGTATTTCTTCTGAGAATATTTAAGTAATTCTTGTAGATTTACCGTGAAAATGCTGCCGTGACAAAAATAATTAGCCAATTTGGGATCAATAAAGTATATACACACATTAAGAGGTATAAATAAAAAAGTAAATATATCAAAAATAAACACACAAGTTTTATTCATGTCTTAATGTGTGCATATGTATACATGTGTCTGCTGATTGTGTATAGATGTACATAGATATATACATATTTTTATATATATATATTTGTATTTGGGATTGTGGGAAATGGTATTTGGATCTCTCCGTCTGTACACACAAACTGGAAGATTTGACTTGAGGACAGGAAACAGAATCTAGTAGGCGGATGAATATTAACTCGATATATCCAGTAGTGCAAATAACTCAGATGTAGTGATTTCTCTTCTTACCGATGGCAACGTTTTTGGCGATGTCTCCTCCGGGTTGGTCGTCCTGCTCCGAGGCGTTTTGGTTCCCCTGGTGAACGTGAACATGAACAACATGTTTGTTGCCTACAAATAAAATAAAAAATACACTTTATTTAAAGAGCTTTACGGTCACTAGGAAAGCTTATTAAAATATGGAGGAATCCCAGGGAGATGCTGCGTTCAGGGACCAACAGTAAAACACCACATCCCTGTAGCTCTGTACTGAAGAAATCACATATTTACTACTACTACTACAGTTACTACTACTACTACTACCACTACTACTGTTACTACTACAGTTACTTCTACTACTACGGTTACCACTACTACAGTTACTACTACTACTATTACTACAGTTACTACTACAGTTACTTCTACTACTACTACTACAGTTACCACTACCACTACTACAGTTACTACTACAGTTACTACTACAGTTACTACTACTACTACAGTTACCGTTACTACTACAGTTACTTCTACTACAGTTACCACTACTACAGTTACTATTACTACTGTTACCACTACTACTACTACCGTTACCACTACAGTTACTACTACCGTTACCACTACTACTACAGTTACTTCTACTACTACTACTACTACGGTTACCACTACTACGGTTATTATTACTACTGTTACCACTACTACTACCGTTACCACTACTACTACTACAGTTACCACTACTACCGTTACTACTACTACAGTTACTATTACTACCGTTACCACTACTACAGTTACCACTACTACAGTTACCACTACTACAGTTACCACTACTACTGTTACCACTACTACTACTACCGTTACCACTACAGTTACTACTACCGTTACCACTACTACTACAGTTACTACTACCGTTACCACTACTACTACAGTTACTACTACCGTTACCACTACTACTACAGTTACTACTACCGTTACCACTACTACTACAGTTACTTCTACTACTACTACGGTTACCACTACTACGGTTATTATTACTACTGTTACCACTACTACTACTACCGTTACCACTACTACTATAGTTACCACTACTACCGTTACCACTACTACAGTTACTATTACTACCGTTACCACTACTACAGTTATTATTACTACTGTTACCACCACTACTACTACCAGAGTTGGGTGTAACGCGTTACTACAGTTATTATTACAGTAACGCGTTACAATAATAATATTACTTTTGTCGGTAACGGAGTAGTGTAACGCGTTACTTTTATAATTCAGTAATCACACTACAGTTACTAACATTGCCCCGACACGCGTTACTTCGTTACTTTTATAAAATCAGTCATAATCACACTGACAGACAAGAGGGGTTTCCGCCGCAGGTTTATATGTACGTAATCTGCGCGACTTGCGCGTCCACATCTCCACGTGCAGTGCTGCATAAACATGGCAGAGTCAGCGATAACTTTCGAGGGGTGGAGGTATGCCCATTATTTTGAGTTCGTCCGAAGAATAGACAGGAATGTGACGGAGAGGTGCAAACTGTGTCCAGGCCAGAAGCTGTTATCCACTGCTGCAAACACCACGTCAAACCTCAACAAACACCTGCAAAGAACACATGCTAAGGTGAAGCTAATAGCTAAGGACCCCCGAACCCAGAGTGAGGATGTTGTGAGTGCGCCGCCGCCGACCGAAGCAGCACAAATGACCGGTAACCAAAGCAGAGATGGACAGGCTTGTAGCATCCTTCATAGTAGAGGAAATGTTGCCCATTTGCACAGTGGAATCACCATCGCATCGTTCAGAGATATACTGCGCAAAATACAGATAGCAGGAGACAGAGGACAGCCATAGTCAGAGCTATCTGGATCAGTCTTATGCGACAATGGAAACTGAACTAAAGAGAACATTTGAAACTTTAGCAGTCTGCGTGATCTGCCTGTAGGGAGGGGCGGGCCGGCCCTGCGAGTAAAGTAACGAGTAAAGTAACGAGTAAAGTAACGAGTAAAGTAACGAGTAAAGTAACGAGTAAAGTAACGAGTAAAGTAACGAGTAAAGTAACGAGTAAAGTAACGAGTAAAGTAACGAGTAAAGTAACGAGTTACTTTATGTAGAGAGTAACGAAGTAGTGTAATATATTACTTTTTTAAAAAAGTAATATGTAATATATTACTTTTTTTTAGTAACGACCCCATCTCTGACTACTACTACTACTACTACTACTACAGTTACTACTACTGTTACCACTACTACTACTACTACTACAGTTACTACTACTGTTACCACTACTACTACTACTACAGTTACTACTACTGTTACCACTACTACTACTACTACTGTTACCACTACTACAGTTACCACTACTACTACTACAGTTACTACTACTGTTACCACTACTACTACTACAGTTACTACTACTGTTACCACTACTACTACTACAGTTACCACTACTGTTACCACTACTACTACTACTACTACTACTACTACTACTACAGTTACTACTACTGTTACCACTACTACTACTACAGTTACTACTACTGTTACCACTACTACTACTACTACAGTTACTACTACTGTTACCACTACTACAGTTACTACTACTGTTACCACTACTACTACTACTACTGTTACCACTACTACTGTTACCACTACTACAGTTACTACTACTGTTACCACTACTACTACTACTGTTACCACTACTACTACTACAGTTACCACTACTGTTACCACTACTACTACTACTACTACTACTACAGTTACTACTACTGTTACCACTACTACTACTACAGTTACTACTACTGTTACCACTACTACTACTACTACAGTTACTACTACTGTTACCACTACTACAGTTACTACTACTGTTACCACTACTACTACTACTACTGTTACCACTACTACTGTTACCACTACTACAGTTACTACTACTGTTACCACTACTACTACTACTACTGTTACCACTACTACTGTTACCACTACTCCTACTACAGTTACTATTACTACCGTTACCACTACTACAGTTACCACTACTACTACTACTACTACTACTACTACTACTACTACAGCACCATCTACTGGCCTGGCATATGTACTACAGCGTCTCCAGCGCTTTCGAACGGCAATGGCCGTGGCTGTCTCCTCCTGATTGGTGGAGTTGGCCCAATAGCCGTAGCGTTACCACTACTACTACTACAGTTACTATTACTACTACTGTTACCAATACTACCGTTACCACTACTACAGTTACTATTACTATTACTACTACTGTTACCAATACTACAACCACTACAGTTACTACTGCTACTACCAGAGTATTTTTAAACACGAGTATCTGTACTTCTACTTGAGTAAAGGATGCGTGTACTTTTGCCCTCTCTTATTATTATTGTTGTTGTTGTTGTTATTACTTCTGTGCCGGATGCAGGCTCCGTCGTCGATCTGGTGGAGGAGCGCCGGGCAGAGGAAGCTGAAGTCAGCGAAGGAGACGCTTCCTCCTGAAGACATGCCGTGAGAGGAGAGGATAGTGGAGGCGTTCAGGCACTGTAGGAAAACACAACACCACCACCATCATCATCATCATCATCATCAACTCAAGAAAACTGGAGAGGCTGCTTTCTGCTTTTATCTCCCCAAAATGTGGAAAAGCCTCAATTTTAACGTTTTTACATATTTTAATGATGTGTTTAATCATTTGTTGTTGAGATATGTTGTCATGCTCTGTAAAGCACAAAGGTGATGTATAAATAACCACCTCAGTTGACCAAAGTGCTGTACAGGGAACATATTAGGGCTGTGCAATTAATCGTATTTTAATCTCGATTACGATTTTGGCTTGCAACGATTACGAAAACAATGTAATCGAAATAAAACGATTATTATTTTTATAAAAAAAATAAATATATATATTTTTTTTTGGCTTTTCAGTTTAATTATACACTGTAGAAACGTTATTTAGCAAAAGTCCTGCGTTGTTTAACCTCCAGGTCTCAGGCTCCAAAATGACATGCCCAGAACAAATGACTATAACTACACTTCTAAAAAGGGGAAAATTAATAATCTTTTTTCTCAAAGCAATGATAAACCTGGAGTTGGCTGTAGAAGAGTCAGAATCAATATATAATTTTTTATTTTAAAGTAAATTCAGATTGAACATAGTAAAAAAATTTAAATTATAGTGTCCGTCCAAAAACAAAACATTACTTAAAGTGAAAACCACCCTTGAATCAGCGTTTCCGCCAGGGGGGCGTCTTGCCGTCATTTGACGCCCTTATTCAGCTCGGGACGCCCTGCCTGAAACACTGCCTTGAATGATGGGATAGTAGACTAAAAGCTTTAGGAATCCAAACTATAACATATAATAAGTACCCTGTATCAAGTTTGATGCAAAACAAGTGACATTTGACCTTTTTAGAGAGATTTAGAAGAAAAAAACACTTCTGGGGTCATTTGGGTGGATTTTCCATATCTCTGGCCCCCCTCGTTTGATTTTGATGATTGACACCTCTTTTGAGCCAATAGAATCGAAGGGGAAGTTCCTAAAATCCATCTAAACATTACCCATTGGTGAATGAGTGCTGCACAGCCAGAATGAACCGGAAGCTGCGATACACTCTGGTGGCTATCATAGCAGCTAATATGAAATCTCAGTTTTTGACATAAAAATGGAATGATGGATTATCAGTAATCATTTCAAAGTGACAGACACATTGGATTGACCTATGGATTAACCTTCAGCGGCGTTTTTATCGTTTTAATGCCATTGAACACGACTTTTGATCAGAACACAGCAACGGTAAGACTTATTTTCCGATTTGGTCCCGTAAAGCTAATTTTGTTGTCGTTTGAAGTCATTTCGCCGCGAGTTCAGATCGCTCAGTGATGATACTAATACCTCTAGAATCTGTGGGATCTCAGCTTGCTAATCGATATCTTGTTTGTGCGGATCCGATAAGTAATAAGGGTATTTTAACGTGAGTTCTGTGCTAAGTGTGTTAGCATTTTTTCGCTCAAGGCTCATTTAGACGCTTCTTGTGAGACTTGTGTTTTGTTTCAGTAGAAATGGTTCGTATCGTCAGTTAGCTGAGTTTCTTCCCGTTAATCGGGTATGACACATTCATAGGTTTTTAAATATTAAGAAGCCCTGAGACAGTTTCATAAAAAAAAAAAAACCTGCAGCCCCCTCTAGCTCTCGGGCTTAACAGGTTAAAGTGTAATGATAGGAAAATACTTGAGTAAAGTACCTAAAATGTGCACTTAAGGTCAATACTTGTACCTATAACTGAGTACTTCTGCTGAGTTTGACACCCCTGGCCTACGTCATTTCATTGTGGAGATGTCTCAAAGAATAAGAAAGACATCCACACTGATCCTGGTAATAACAGCTCTTACCTCCACACTGCCCTCGCTGTGGTTATGGGGAATATTGTGGTCATGATCGTGTTCTTCAGGAGTCCCGTTCGTCTCCTGATTCTCGTCCGATTTCACCATCATTTGCGCGCTGAAAACCGCCGAGGAGACGCTCTTCCTGTCCTGCAAACTGTCCTGATCTTTGGACACCTCCGAGGTCTTTGGAGACTTGTGTGTGTGGGAGTTGTTGTTGTTGTGGTGATGATGATGATGGTGGTGATGATGATGGTGGTGGTGGGGGTTTTCTTCCTGATGATGATGATGATGTTGATGATGGCCAGGTTTCTCGTGATGTTGCACCGTAACGCTCCGGTTTCGATCCAAACCTACGTTCTGTAAGAGGAGCTTTAACCCGGCTAAAGAGATGCTGCCGTTCTCTCCATATCTGTTTATAAACAACAACAACAACATAGGGATGGGAATTATTCATCGAAAATGATTCAGGCATTCGAAGAAGAGGGACCAATGAAAACGTTGTCATGTTGCCGTTGTTCAGCATGGAAACATTCATTAGCTAACAATGACATTATTGTTCTATTAATATAAAGGGAGGTCAGGTACTCTTTAAAACAGCTGCTAGTTATGGGTACTTTTTACTGAAGTACATTTCAAACCCTCTTTACTTTGACTTGAGTAAAGAAGTTTAGTCAGTACTTCTACCAGAGTATTTTTAAACACGAGTATCTGTACTTCTACTTGAGTAAAGGATGTGTGTACTTCTACCATCTCTGGTAATACTTTCTTCCCTCAGCTCTCTTCTGTGTCTCACCTGTTGAACAGAGCCTCCAGGTGCTGTCTCTGGCTCTGCTCGGCCCTCAGAGCGTCCACCCCGGCGGACAGTGAACGCACCGCAGAGCTGCTCTCTGTGGTGCATTCAGGGACCACCGTCGCAGCGCCGCAAAGACGAACGGCGAGAAGAAACGTCAGCAACAACAACAACATCTCTGCAGACCCTTCAGAACAAAGGACAAGAGAAACATGACGTTGTTAATAAGGAGATGTTTCTACATACTGATATACACCTGAACATCAGCAGGAGAGGACTCTTTAAAGTAGAGACACTACATACTGATATACACCTGAACATCAGCAGGAGAGGACTCTTTAAAGTAGAGACACTACATACTGATATACACCTGAACATCAGCAGGAGAGGACTCTTTAAAGTAGAGACACTACATACTGATATACACCTGAACATCAGCAGGAGAGGACTCTTTAAAGTAGAGACACTACATACTGATATACACCTGAACATCAGCAGGAGAGGACTCTTTAAAGTAGAGACACTACATACTGATATACACCTGAACATCAGCAGGAGAGGACTCTTTAAAGTAGAGACACTACATACTGATATACACCTGAACATCAGCAGGAGAGGACTCTTTAAAGTAGAGACACTACATACTGATATACACCTGAACATCAGCAGGAGAGGACTCTTTAAAGTAGAGACACTACATACTGATATACACCTGAACATCAGCAGGAGAGGACTCTTTAAAGTAGAGACACTACACACTGATATACACCTGAACATCAGCAGGAGAGGACTCTTTAAAGTAGAGACACTACACACTGATATACACCTGAACATCAGCAGGAGAGGACTCTTTAAAGTAGAGACACTACATACTGATATACACCTGAACATCAGGAGGAGAGGACTCTTTAAAGTAGAGACACTACATACTGATATACACCTGAACATCAGCAGGAGAGGACTCTTTAAAGTAGAGACACTACATACTGATATACACCTGAACATCAGCAGGAGAGGACTCTTTAAAGTAGAGACACTACATACTGATATACACCTGAACATCAGCAGGAGAGGACTCTTTAAAGTAGAGACACTACATACTGATATACACCTGAACATCAGCAGGAGAGGACTCTTTAAAGTAGAGACACTACACACTGATATACACCTGAACATCAGCAGGAGAGGACTCTTTAAAGTAGAGACACTACATACTGATATACACCTGAACATCAGCAGGAGAGGACTCTTTAAAGTAGAGACACTACATACTGATATACACCTGAACATCAGCAGGAGAGGACTCTTTAAAGTAGAGACCACTACACACTGATATACACCTGAACATCAGCAGGAGAGGACTCTTTAAGTAGAGACACTACATACTGATATACACCTGAACATCAGCAGGAGAAGACTCTTTAAAGTAGAGACACTACATACTGATATACACCTGAACATCAGCAGGAGAGGACTCTTTAAAGTAGAGACACTACACACTGATATACACCTGAACATCAGCAGGAGAGGACTCTTTAAAGTAGAGACACTACATACTGATATACACCTGAACATCAGCAGGAGAGGACTCTTTAAAGTAGAGACACTACATACTGATATACACCTGAACATCAGCAGGAGAGGACTCTTTAAAGTAGAGACACTACATACTGATATACACCTGAACATCAGCAGGAGAGGACTCTTTAAAGTAGAGACACTACATACTGATATACACCTGAACATCAGCAGGAGAGGACTCTTTAAAGTAGAGACACTACATACTGATATACACCTGAACATCAGCAGGAGAGGACTCTTTAAAGTAGAGACACTACACACTGATATACACCTGAACATCAGCAGGAGAGGACTCTTTAAAGTAGAGACACTACATACTGATATACACCTGAACATCAGCAGGAGAGGACTCTTTAAAGTAGAGACACTACACACTGATATACACCTGAACATCAGCAGGAGAGGACTCTTTAAAGTAGAGACACTACATACTGATATACACCTGAACATCAGCAGGAGAGGACTCTTTAAAGTAGAGACACTACATACTGATGTACACCTGAACATCAGCAGGAGAGGACTCTTTAAAGTAGAGACACTACATACTGATATACACCTGAACATCAGCAGGAGAGGACTCTTTAAAGTAGAGACACTACACACTGATATACACCTGAACATCAGCAGGAGAGGACTCTTTAAAGCTGACACACACATTACACATTACACATATGCCTCTCACAAGACTAAAATTAGAACGTTCTTCCATGGAGTTTGGTTGTGGTTGGTTAAGAAAAACATCACTGATGAGATACTCTTGTGCAATCTAAAATAAAGCTTCAACACACAGACCATGGGATGTTTTAATTCATCATGTACCGGTCATACTTCATGTTGAGCAATTATCAAAAGTTCCCTAAAGTCATAAAGATGACGCCACGTTGCTCGATTAAACAATCCTGCACCCAAAAAGTGACAAATCCTTAAAAACAAGAAGCTAGTCTGATGTAATTTTTTGTTTGAAAAATGACTTTTCCCCTCAATCGAGGCATTGATTTAATAATTGATCATTTCCGCTCCATGACACAAACTGTTATTTATCTGAGAGGAGGCGTAGTTTTCTTCTTCGTTAATACTTACTACACAAAGGCTTATTCATACAAGACTGGGAAAGTATAATCACACTTTACCGCTTCATGCTAAAAGTGATAATGCGGTGTTCAGATACTTTAATTAAAAATAAAATAAGGACAAAAATGACGAAGGAAGGCAAGTTTATTAATACATCACCTTTCAAAGCACAGCACCCTCTCAGCTTGATTATAATAAGGGGAAATATGAAGGATCTATTTCAAGCTTGTTACGTAAATACGTTTTTGGGCTTTTTTGTTTTAATCAATTAAGATTTGTTCCAACACGTTTTCAACTTTAATTTATTTGAAAGTAGGGCTTATTAACACATGGATACTACTGTGTATTATATGTTTACATATGTATTTAAGAAGTACTATAGAGTACCAGGAAGTGAGTCAGCATTTCACCACTTCCTGTTCCCTCGTCTCAGAGTCAACTGTTTTTGAACTTTGGAAAATATCTGGAAATAAGGTCTGTGGTTGAGACACGTTGAAGAGACGGATCACGGTTTGTTCTACGACATTAAATCCATCAGCAGTGACCCCACTGGTGATTTCTGAAGAGTGTACGTGTCTGAGAAACGATGGTTGTTACCAAGTGGCTGAATAGGACTACAGAAGTCGTGGAGGACGTTGTACGTCATTACGCCGAACACGTAAACACTCCTCTAAGTTAGTTTGCCCTGTTCTGCTTGAAAGCAAGTACCTGCCTCCTGCAGACTGTTCAAACAAACGCTTCAACTCGTACCATTTAGAATCTGTGTGTTTGAATATGGATCTGAAGTTGGCGTGACGTTGAAGTCGTGCTGCTGGACTCGGCTGTAGTTCCTTTATAGCATCACGTTAGCATGTTGCTTCTGGACATTAGATTTATGATTAGAACATTATAAAAGTAGGGTAGACATGTGGAGATTATCCGGCTGAACAAAACGTGCATTCATCAAACAGCTTTGTTTCCACAGACCTTATTTTTTACAATTTTCCAAAATCCTATGGAGAAACCCCGTTGCTTTCTGTCGAGGGAACCAGCAGCTTACTTCAGGGTCGAACTACAAAAATACATCATCCCTGCACCGCTTTATATAAGATAAGCTCAAGTTTCAGGTGTGGGCCATATTCAAATAAACGTATAGAAAATGGACAATGGGAGTTTGGACACACCTGGTGTCAACAAAGGGTGTTGATGTAAACTAAGGGTGTACAAGATAATTAAAGAGCTTATCTTGTTTGTGCGAGTGATTTACTTCTTCTTATAGAGAGGCGAAGTCCCGCCCTTCTACTTCCGCCCCATGGGACCTTATTTAGGAAAAATTATGTATTGAAGTCAATGGAGAGAGAAAACCTATCTTTCGATCCCGTTTGAATTGTAAAAACAAAACAGTTATGAGACGCTATCCGTTCTTTAAAAAGGGAACATTTATTAAACTTGTAGGTTTTCTGAATGGGGTTTGACGCTGACTCCATACAGGTACATGTAATAAGATAAGAAGTACTTTATTGATCCCAAATTGGGACATTTTTACTTTACAGCAGCATAAAAAACAACAAAACAATAATATATTACAAATTGTAGGTTTTCTGAACTTAATGTATATATATATCTTTATTTATAGTCTTTTCATTTCACTAATGTACAATGCCTTGTCTTTTTGTGCTGCTGCAACGCAAATAACTCCCAAGTTTGGATCAATAAAGTACTTATCTTATCTGAACAGGGTCTGAACAGATGTTATGTATTCTTTCCATACATGATGACAGAACTACAGCAAATATATATATAGTCTGGTTTGTTTTCATGCTTTTTCCAAAGAAAACACAACAGTAATGAGATGCTATCCTCTCTTTAAAGGGAAAATATATGAGTTTTCTTAATGAAGTTTGGTGATTCCATGTTACCTTCAGATTATGAGATATCTATCATTACAAAACAATCAGCTCTTCCTCATTAGCATCACTGAACATGACATTACCTGTTAAATATAATGAGAAAACTACATAATATATAGTTTAATTTGTTTGATGTTGAGCCGTAGTGAAGGACAGCTTCAACCTCATAAACCAATCAGATTGTTGTTATTAGCATCAATAAATGTAAATGTATAATGGTATATATGCAGGATTGATTAATGCCGAATTGAAGGTAAGCTTCTAACTAATTGTTCCAACAACAAAATAAACCAGTATTGAGATGCTATCCTCTCTTTAATGGGAAAATTGTAGGTTTTCTGAATGGGGTTTGGTTCACAGTCCATACAAATGCATCCAGTTACTTCAGCAAGCACACAAAAACCATCAGATTGTCGTTATTAGTAGCACTAAATGTAAATGTATGATGTTTAATAGTCAATATATGTTAATGCCGAATTGAAGGGAGGGTTGTAACTAATTAGTTTCCCCCCCAAAGAAACAGTATTGAGATGCTATCCTCTTTAATGGGAAAATGGTTTTAAATTGTATGTTTTTTTAATGGGGTTTGGCGTAAATGCATCCAGCTACTACTACCCTAATAAATAAATCAGCTCTTCTTTATTAGCATCATTGAATGTAAATGTTTCATTGTAAATATACAGGATTAATAACAGAAACACTACCTCACCTCTCTAACGTGTGTTTTCTGGATTAGCCACCGGGCTAACCGCGTTTATTTCCCGGGAGAATGTTAACGACAGACGGCCTCAGCCAGCTGCTCCACCCGGTACTTTAACAACACATCAGTCCATAAAATAAAACCATAAAACCATAAAAAATATGAAGCCTCCTCCGGTTGGAGCCACGCGTGTCTTTAATCTCATGTAAACAGAAACACGTTGGATTTATGCTCTCAGCACTACCAAGGT